CAAGCTTCGGTATAAGCCAGTGTTTCTCAACCTTGACAATTTTAAGGCATGTGGACTTCAACTCCCAGAATTCCACAGCCAGCATTGCTGGCTGTGGAATTCTGGGAGTTGAAGTCCACATGCCTTAAAATTGTCAAGGTTGAGAAACACTGGATAAGCACAAGTGAAACATCAATGGTTCTTCCTCCTTCTTCTCCTTCTCCTCCTCCTTCTCCTTCTCCATCTTTGTCTCCTTTTCCTCCTTCTCCTCCTCCTCCTCCTCCCCCCCCTCTTCTCCTTCTTCTCACTCAACATCATTGCTTCCTGCTTGGTCCATTTATTGCCTCCTTTTCTACTATTTTCCTCTTTTTATCCCTTCCACTTACTAACCTTATTTCCTCTCTCTTGAATCCACCCTCTCTACATATTCTTAGCTTTCCATCTCTTTTCTTTCCAAGGACGTGTCCTGCTAATGGTTTGCTTGCCCAAGCCAAACACAAGTAAGCCACTGTTTCACCCCAGGAGGTAACACCCCTCCCATTAGCATCTTTCCGTTTGGTTTCAGAGACTTTTAATCGGCCCGCGACGTTCGCCAGCCTTGCAGCCATGAGCAGCAATGCCTTCGGGGGACTTGGCAACCATGCCGTTAGTGAGTAAATTCTCCTTCGGCTCTGGCTATGTCATGCTTTGGGTTGGCTTAGTAGCAAGGGTGAAAGAACAGTACAGGTAGTCCTCGACTTACAACAGTTCATTTAGTGACCGTTCAAAGTTACTACAGGACTGAAAAAAATGACTCATGACCATTTTTCACACTTACATTTCAGCATCCCCATGGTCAAGTGATCAAAATCCAGGCACTTGGCAACTGACTCATATTTATGACGGTTACAGTGTCCTGGGGGGTCATGTGATCCCCTTTTGCAACCTTATGACACGCAAAGTCAATGAGAAAGCTAGATTCATTTAACAGGCATGTTACTAACTTAACACCTGATTCACTTAACTACTCTGGCAAGAAAAATCATAAAATGGAGCAAAACTCATTTAACAAATGTATCACTTAGCAACAGAAAAGTTGGGTTCAATTGTGGTCGTAGGTTGAGGACTACCTGTACGGATTTGTGCAGAAAAGCAAGAGAATGTGGAATGCCTCTGCTTTCTATAAACCTTTTACTGACACAGAAATCTAATTCCAAGCAAAAAACAATCTCTTGCATTTCATTTTCCCTACCAGTTTGGATTTCCATCTGATGAAAGGAGACTTTCAGAAAGTTCTCGTTAGCAACGTTTGGTGATCTTGCTGTGTTATAAAAGGGGCAAGAAGCGTGCACATCAGTGTCCTGATTTTCACTGCATAATCATGTCTCCGCCAATCTGTTGTTTTTGTTGCTTCCCACCTCTCCGTTAAATCCCCAGTGAAGGAATCAGGAGAGAGCGCATCTCATGAAAGTTTGAATAGCAATAGCACTTAGACTTATATACCGCTGCACAGTGCTTTACAGCCCTCTCTATGTGGTTTACAGAGTCAGCCTCTTGCCCCCAATAATCTGGGTCCTCCTTTTACCGGCCTCAGAAGGATGGAAGGCTGAGTCAAGGTTTGAGCCGATGAGGATCGAACTCCTGGCAGTGGGCAGATTTAGCCTGCAATACTGCATTCTAACCACTGTGCCATCACGGCTCTTAACATTGAATATCCATCTATAGTATTGAATAGCAAACATTGAATAGCAATGTAAAGAATTTCCCCTCCCCCTGAAGGAGAATTTTGAAAAGGCATGGGTGGGGCTTAATAGGGTACAGGCAGTCCTTGACTGCCAACCACTTGTTCAGTGACCATTTAAAGTTAAGAAGGCACTTAAGACATAGTGGTTGTGACCGATCCTCAGACTTCCAGCTGTCCCAGCACCTTTCTTCAGTCAGGTGTAAACTTAGTAATGAGGTGGAGTGAACTTTGGCCACTCTTGTGTATCATTTTTGTTGTGATCTTGGTAGTGTATCT